CTCCGACTATTATTTTCACCAGTAAATGTTCCTGTTGCTCTCATAGCAAACTATTAATCATAAATACCAAAGAATATCACGATAAACTGCCTAAAAGCAGGATAGTATTTCATTAGAAGTCCAATGACAGAAAGAAATATCCAAAGCAGAAGAAAAATATAGCCTTAAACCTCTTGGGAAACCTCTTGGTTTTTACCAAAAACAACTATTTGTTAGTTTTGAAGCAAACCCAAAATATTTGTGTTGGATTTTGTGAGAGCAGGCCTCCTGTCTGATGTGGAGTGAAAGCATTTATCAATGTCATCACAGGAAATACATTTCTCTTCCATAGCTGACCGTTGTCATTAAATGGAGACAGCAAGAGGAAACCGCTTCAGTCTTGGGCCCCCTCGGCTGTAAAAACAAAAACCCTTTCACTGGCAGAAATATCATGTAAGGCAACAGCTACAAAGACCAGAGAGGGGAAAAAAAGTGACAATCTAGGACAGATTTATTTAGCATTTGCACTGCAGAGCTCAGGTTCTGTGCTAGAGATGGGCTCTTTGCACAAATACGACTTGCTAAATTAAATATATGTTCATGAAAGTATGAAGAAATGATGAAACCATAGATGTGTGTGTTTGCAAAACTTAATCCTGCTAAAATCTGCACATCACAGGATCAAATTGACTCAAATGGGTCCAGGTGCTACATATAGTGTTAATTTAAATTATTATCTAGCATTCCTATCATGTCCATATAACTTAATGGTGCTTTGAAAAAAGAAAACAAGTTCGGTTTAAAAGCTGTTCGCAAGTTCAAACCCTGACTGTTTAGTCAGGTGGTTCATTGGGTTACGTTGTAAAGAGAAATGAGCCATCCACTTTTCTTTACCGCCTATTCCTGTGGGGTCACGGTGGGGGCTATCCCAGCTGTCACTGGGCAACAGGTGGGCTATGCCCTAGACAGGTCACCTATTAATCACAGGCCAACGGAAATCATCATCTCATCTCTGCCCAGGAAGATTACCAACAAAAGGAAGTTTTTCCTTGCCTGTGTCGCCTAGTGCTTGCTCATGGTGGGAATTGTTGGGTTTCTGTAATTAACTTCAGAGTAGGTCTGACCTGCTCTGTTTGGAAAGCTGTGAGACAACTGTTGTTGTGATGTGGCGCTATAGAAATAAAGTTGAATTAAATTGAATTGAACAAATGCCAGTGTGAACCGCATGTGGGGTTTTGGTTGCTTTAGTTGAAGGAAATTGTAACAATGGACACCAACAATGGTGATGAATATCGTCTAGTGTAGTTTCATAGTTAGAACTATGATCGTAACCCGTACCTCTACCCCCCACAGCTCCTATCCTAACCCTAACCCGTACCTCTACCCCCCACAGCTCCTATCCTAACCCTAACCCGTACCTCTACCCCCCACAGCTCCTTCTGTAGTCCCTCTACATCTATCTCTATCTCACCACTGACTCTGATCAGGGTTTCTCCTCTGGATAGCTTATTGTCATAGTGATGAGAAATGGAATATTGGGTCTACTCTGTAAGTCGCTTTGGAGAAAAGCGTCTGACAAATGCAGAAACATAAACATAACCATAAACATAAACGATAGAAATAATCTAGAAACCTTGACTCAACGTGAAAGTGAAAGCTAAGTCGTTAAAAGGAGGCGACCGAGAGCATACCCCTAAATTACCACCAATGGCTTGAACAAACAATCAGGAACATGCTTTACCCAGATGAGGGCATGTTGTGCCGGGCACATGTGGTAGACATGAAAGGCTCCACGCAATCCGGGACAACGTTGTGTTGCCAGTAACACCGTTCAACATGACCGGTTGGTGGTGGGTCAGTGGTGGTCTGGGGAGGTATGTCCATAGAGGAATGCACAGGTTTTTTACCGGGTGCAACATGGTGCCTTTTCCCTGCCATTGGGTATTGGGATTAAAGTCTAGGGACCTATGATAGTAAAAGAGGTATCGGCTTCTTCCTGCTCCGTTTATTCCTCCTTGTAGCTAACGCAGTTACATAAGCATTTTTTCCGTGTGAATTTATTTCATTTTGTGAATATGAATATGTTTTACTTTTGATATCTATTTCATATCTTTGTGTATTTTTTTATTAACTCATTGACTGCCAGCCATTTTCAGAACAGAGTCCCTCACTGCCAGAGTTTTTTGAGCATTTCGACTGATTTTTCAAGAGCCACAGAATAGTTTGTGCTATGACTATGTAAACACCGAACACACCAAAAGAAAGAGTAGACTCTCTTCTTTCAACAAGAAAAATAAAATGTTTCTACCTTATTCCGTTCTTCCTGGACTTGCGTCTCACCGGCGACATGTTCTCTCATAGAACCGTTCCCTTTTTCTTATTTGCCTACAGTCTATGCTCATCTCCCATCAAAAGTGGCACTGCCCCCTAGAGGGTCAATTTGTTACTACATACTCTGTCTAGAAGCCTGATATTTACGGACAAGCTTTAGCAGATCGTCCCCCAGACACTCTCGTTGAAAAACATAAAAGACGTCTATAGACATCTTTGGCAGCGAATGAGTTAATATGTAAATACTTTGGGGAAATATTGTAACAATGTCATATGGAGACGTCACCGATTGGGTCATCACTTGATCACGTGATGCCTTTGATAGGAAGTTCTGAGTTTTGTTTATAATTAGTCTGCGTGTGCCAGAGTAAAGGCAAAGGACTGAAATATAGAAGAAATGGACTTCTAGCAACTCCTAACCTTCTGGTTGGAGGGGCATACGGTATGGACAATTTAGACAATTTATATTTTGTTTAATAAGTTTCATTTGATAATTCATGTAAGGGAACATGACGGTTTCACTGATGAATATTTTCTACCGCGTGTTTTGCAGTGTTCACGGTGGTCTTGGGCGTTTGTATGACGGAAAATCCTTTAATAAACGTTTGGACATATCTATGTTTTTCACTTAAATTTTTGGAATGTCAGTCCTCCACAGGTTGATCATTTTTCATCAAAATGGCACGGCTTTGAATCGGTCCTAACAATTATACCGCCACTTGAGTTCAAAGCAATTTGAGTGATTTATTTTATCAAATTGTGTCCATTTTAGTGTGTAATGTGTATAGTTAATTATTTGCAATCAGTGCTTCTCTCAAACAGTAAAATGGCAGCACTTAAAATACCATTCCCCAAATTCTGAGTTGACTTTCCTAAAAGATCGTAAGATAACGCACAGTTGCTCACTGCCATATGTTTGCATGTCGTTAATTGGGTCCAAAAAAATCACAAATGTTTAGGTCATTCGAGGCCTTTTGCAGAGCAGCTCATGCATTTTTAACAACATCTCCATATGTTATCAGCAGCCAGTCGAAGGATAAAGAACTCAAGTTCCTAAAAATATCTGTGAAGTGAAGTCTTTTTTTGTTTGCAATGTGAGTTTACCCCCAGAAGATGACTTCTGGAAAAGCAATTCATGTCTAACAGAGCGTAAAGCAATCTGAGAGCCTCTTATTTATTTATCTAATCTCAGTAGGAACTTCAAATTATCTCACATGGTCCATATGGGTGCTTTTGGAGGATCAAAGATCAGCTTTGGGATAAGTGCCAGGATTGAGGTCTATGTTTTCAGCATTTACACAAAATGGTTAACAGAGGGTGTTTGGATATGCGGAACGTAAATCTATTGTGTCCACAAACAAGTTTTTGTGGAGCTGGTGCTGTAGATCGTATCATTATTTTGGGTTTGGCTTCATGTATTTGTCAAGGCAGAAGCTGACTCATTAAATGAAAATAGTCTGCAAAAAATAAAAATAATAATCCTGAAACACCAGTTACATGAAATAATATTGGAAAAATACGCAAAAAAAACATTTTTAAAAGATAGATACTTGTATTTTACATGCTGTGTGTAGTTTTAGATATATAACCATTATAACCATATTAATTGATAAATAGAATGGTTGAGGATACATGTGAAATTGATAGTTGGGTCATTTCACGCTCGACGATTTCTACTAATTGCTCGTCTTTAAAAATATGCTTCATATAACATGAATAAAAGGAATGACATCAGTGTTAGCACTGGATGTTGTTTTGCTTTCAAATTCCGAACCATCTGGAAAACAACTTTACAGTCCATGAGAAAAACATGTGAATGAAAATAAAGCAGAAGTGCATGTGTCTTCTGTGGTCCCCCTCCAATGTGAAGAGATGTTGATAGAAACTCTTAAAAAGTCCAATTCAATTAGTCAAATCCTTGTCTGGATATTAATCAGGAAGCTGTCCCTCCCTAAGCATTAACCATAAATCTGAGTACGGTGATGTTTGAATCCTCAAAAATTCAAACTGATTTACAAAAAACAAACATGTAGCAGGTATTATAAGGTTAGTCCATCAGTTTTCTCATCACAATGAATGTGTTATATCTAAAATATAAAGGAGGTTTTATAAGACTAGATGTTAAAACCACGCATTAAAATCTGCTTTGTTACAAAATAAAATCATATTTTCACCCAGAGTTGGGCAATCAAATAGGTTTAAATAACTATGACAACTTGCAAAACAACAAGAAAGTTCTTAGACTGAATGTGCATAAATTCAAATAAATCTAAGTCTATTCATGGTACTAATTTAATTTTCTTTGTAGCTGTCTTTGTCTGGATCGGTACTATTTTTCATTAGATAAAAATATGTGTATTCTTTTTAAATGAGGGTGTGTGTGACAGAACCATACCCCATTTTTCTTTGTAGCTGTCTTTGTATGTATCGGTACTATTTTCATTAGATAAAAACATGTGTATTCTTTTTGAATGAGGGTGTGTATTCTTTTTGAATGAACCATACCCCAATTCAAAACATGCCCCCTTGTCTTTCCTCCTTACAAATCCTGTTTTTTTCTCTTTCCCCGTCCCTGGCCGCCACATTTCTGTGAATCGGGCCACTCGTTGGCAGCTGCCCTGTAAACTTATCGTGGGCAAAGAAAGCGGATCTGCCATGTGCTC